CCCCCCCCCCCCCCCCCCCCCCCCTGAACCTTCGGTCAAAATACGGCGCTGCATCGATGCAAACTTGTGCTCTCTATGCTTATCGATGACCTAGGTACTTTCCGTCGCACGAACTTCAGCATCTAACTCGAGAAAGCATGTCAAGATGAGCTCCATCGCGATCTGACTCCATACAGGCAACCTTGAGTCGAACGTTAGGTCTGAATGATAGGCGTTGCTTTGGTTCTGATAATGCATCTGCACGGAAACCTTTCGTATGCCTAACGTTGGCACCTCTCTCCTCGATTTTGTCCGATCCCCTTTAGGCTCGGCGGGTGGGCTTCGCTACCTTCCCGTATTTCAAGAGCCCATTTCATCACCCTCCCAACAATCCATCATTAGTTAGACTCCGTTAATACTTAGGCCTAGCACTCGCACTTCCAAGTGTAGAACTTAACATACATTGATTTGCAAGTGAATTTGTACCACTTTTAACACGAATGCCTCAGACCCAATTCCCCACATTTCATGGTCGAAACACCCTCATCTCCTTGATTGCGCCATAAAAATACCATGTACATTGTAAAACGTCAGTGAAAATTCATTTTCAATCACTGTATGGGCTGGAGGGAAACAAGACAACATGACTTCGGTTTTTTTCTATTTTTCTATCATGATGAGGGCAGAATGGCAATGGCAAAATTGGCGTTTTTCAAAATCAAAGGGTGCATTCTGACTATCAGCATAAAATTCCTGTCAAGTAGCCCATGGGAAGGGAAGAGGCACAGGGAAAAGAGCGAGCGTGAGTATTTATCCAGTTCAGCCGAACTGGTCACGAAATGGAAACTGGAAATGAAAATTGAAGTATGATCATCACTAGCGATGATCATAATTCAATTTTCATGAAATCAGGGGTAACTTTCGCTTTCAGTGCAAACATCCAGCTTCCGTCAAAGAAGTGAAGAAGCTGTAGAAAGATCAGAATTTTTGTTCAGGAAAAGTAACTTGAGAAGTAACTTCTACTTGTAACTAGTTACTTTGGTGAGAAATAATTCTACTGGTAACTAACTACTTTTTGGATGGAATACTTGTGATTGTAATTAGTTACTTTTCACAAGTAACGCGCCCAACCCTGGCCATCCGAGAACAATTGTTACTACAGATTCCGACGAACGTGGTATTATTAATAATGACGAACGAGAATGTTGGGGTTGAGGGTAAACCCAACTTCTACGCTCCTCGAGACTGGGATCCGGGAAGATACAAAGGGGCCAGAGAGACGTAGATATATTAAATTCCAGACAATTAAATAACTCCGACCGTTTTTATTTTTGGCTGGACGACGTCTCGTGAGGCAGAAAGTCACACAGACGAAGCCTTATTTGGAAGAGATCACCATCCAAACCGTGAAGATGGGTCCGAAAGGGATTTTGCGACTCCAAAACGTCGGCCAATTAAAAGTAAAATTTGGTGGGCGGAGTTTCCTCTTCCTCATTTATGAGGAGTGACGACGAAGTCCCGGAACTGAACTTTTCACGAGTACGGTGACGTCATTACGAGTCTTGCCATACCACGGACTAACGAGGACGAGTCGAAAAGCTTAACTTTTTTTCGGGTCGAAGCATCTATCGTGTTCTCACGTCCCAGCATTTCCCATCCGGCAACGCTTCGATTACCCGTACGCTCCCATCGTATTGATGTGAGACGCGTCGACTGGTGACGTTTCTTGGTAGGCGAAAACAGAATGCTGCGATCGAAAGCTGTGAGCAACGCGCAACCGCGAAGTCTTCGAACGGCTGCAGCAGACTTCACTTTTGCTGACGATACCATAACCTATGATGGAACGTGGGCTTTCTCGTTCGACCCCGAGACGAAACCCCGGAGTTTCTTGCAGCGTTTAAGAATCTCCTGCCGTCACAGTGACCCAAGAAGTACCGCACGTACGGATCGTGCGGATCGAGTCGTGTTCATCGTCTCCGACGAGGAGGGTATCATTCCTCATGAATGCATTCCCGAAGGTCATGCGGTTCACGAACGGTCGTACGATGAGGTGCCAAAACGCCTTCGTGCAGATATTCGCCGAAGGCGACCGGCACCTCCGAGGACGAGAAAGGGTGTTGCAACGTGACGATGCACCGGAGCACACGTCACTCTTGATTACAGAGTTTCAGCCGAACATTCCACGTCCCCGGTGTCACATACACCCTACTTCATTCATCTAGCACAGCGTGACTTCATCCTATTTTATCGTCTAAAAAACTAATCGAAGAAACTTCGTTTCGCGGACTCGGACGAAATGAAACGAGTCGCGACAGCACGACTCGGATGCTTCCAAAGGACTGTAACTATGCTTCCAGCTCTCGCGACAACCTTGACAAAGGTGAATCGATACATCTGAAGACTGCTCGGAAGACGACAGATATTAATTTGTTGCGATTATTAAGGTATGACTTTTGAGCAAAAAAAAAAAAAAGTCCTGAAATTTAGTTAACTCACCCTCATAGGCCTTAGGTTCTTAAAGGTTTAATGTCGCCTTGGAATGTGAGTCTGAGATTATCTCCAGTCTCCATACAGCGCGGCAATGTGCCACGCTGTGTCGTATCGCATCGTATTGCTTGTTTTCTTAATGTACTTGGACGCGTGGATAGAGAAAGTGTGTGCGTGGGGGGGGGGGGGGGGGGGGGGGGGGGAAAAGTCACCGAAAGTGACTGTCCTACGCCTGAATGTTTCGAATCGAGTGAGGATGAAATTGAAAGGATTCTCTTTGAAATATAGTTTTGCAAACCCTTTTGGGCATATGGTAAATGCCGGAGCTGGGGGGGGCGCAGGAACTCTGGGATACTGTTATCAAGCATTTCATGTGTCTTCCTTTTTGGTCTACCCTTCTTCCTTCTTAAAAAGGGAGGGAGGGGGGAGGGGGTATGTGCCCCCGACGCCACGCCGTTGACTTGGACAATACTGCTTTTACAAAGAAGTAGAGGGGCAATGAGTCCTCTTCATTCCCCACTCCATAAGGAACAGCCAAAGGCCAATTCTGGACAAGAATGTCAATCGCCCAGAACTGGTTCTGACCTTTTCTGGAATCCACACCAGAGATAGGATGACATGCACCGGATCCGTTTAATCTAAACTAATCTGATCCCACTATGGTCTCCTATGGGAATCATTTTAACAGAGAAACTTATTCTTATAGATGCCTACTTCAACTGAAAACGAATCAGTGAAAGTTAAACGAATCTGGCGCATGTCACCCATGCGACAGCAGTTTATGCTTGCCAACTTGTAGCACATTCCTACGTGGAAGCTTTCAACAGTTACTCATTAATTTTTGTGAAACAGATTGTGTTTAGCCATAGGTGACATTTATGTATACCCGAGCCCAATATTGTGACAAGGACCACCCTAAAATGGAATGAAAAAAAAAGGCATGCACTGCAACCATTTACATTTTTCAGAAACAAAATAAGCAACTGGTTGCATACAGGATCTTAGGCTGTTATTGTTTTTGGTTACTAGTCTCAATTCTTAGCTGGTGTAACTGGTTGTTTCAGCAACTATTTTCTTGGACATCCCCATTAAAATGTTTGTAACATTTACTCTATTCTCATTTATGACAGAACCGTTGGCAATCTTCTATTCCATGATGGTTCATTTTAGGTGTTGAATGATGCTTCAGTGCAGCAGGGCCTGCATTCATGCATTTTGGGAAAAATCCAGAGGCGTAGCTACCGAATGTGCAGGCGGTGCAACTTCATCGGGGCCCACGGGTCGGAGGGGCCCAGGAACCGAGCTATGAAAATGGGGGACAAAAGGGGCTGTTGCCCTGGGCCCCACTTTTCCAGGGGGCCCCTCGACGGAAATTAAACGGTTTTTATACCAGACGAGAGGCGATAGGACAGAGGGTGGTGGTAGATGAGGGGGGGGGACGGGACTAGGAACTAGGAAACAGGCCAATGAAAAAATTCTGTATCCGCCACTGCCTTCCACACTGACTTCAACTTCCGACGATGATTTACCGGTACAAGCTGCCGGAGAAAATCTAGCAAAAAAAATAACTCCCACGTAACTCAATAGTATCCCATTCGGCACACCAGCTTGGTGTCAGCATTGAGAAAAGGTTGAAACATTGAGACTTGGTTGAAGTTGAGAATTTGACGAAGACTCAACATTGATTAAATTATTAACATCGTAATTTACCGCATTTTCAGCATTGGTGGCTACTTGTGAATTAGCGTAGTCGTTGAGGCTATTGTTATAACGCGTAAAGTTGAAAACCTTTTTTCAACATTGAAGCGATGTTGTTACGGTAAGAAATGAACCTTTTCTAAACGTTGACACAACGTTGCTGTGCCGAATGAGTAAGAAATAGGACAGCGGGTCCCGTTTCATTCCTTGCACCAGGGCCCATGCCAACCACGCTACGCCACTGGAAAAATCGATATGTAGGTGAGGTCTTGTGCTGCAAGCAAAGTTTCCCTTCTAAAGTTCAATGGAAGTGGTTTTGACTATATTCATAAGGGGCAAATAAATCACTTGTCTCGTTCGTGATCTCATTCATTCACACAATGGATTGAATTTTGGTCAGACTTAGATGCAGAAGTGACAGAAAGGCCTTGAAGATACAAAAGGTTTTTATTAATCTGTATATGACCTGAACATTTTTTGGTTTCCAACAATTGGATAACTTCAACAGAAAATGGCACTTGTTACCTACTAAAGTGTACACATTTCATGTACAATCAAAATATCTCCTGCATAAGTGCAAAGAATCTCTCTTAGCATAAACATGATAGGAAATGCTCATAGTCAACACGGGAGAACAAACAATCGGGCTGGTTGTTCATAAGACACAAGAGATTCAAATGTTGGCCTGAGTTCTTCTACTCCTCCTCCAACTTCCTCACATCCCAATGATCCTGGAATGGTGTGAGTACCCATACCAGTACTTGAGTTCTACAACAACCAGGAAACAGACACATTTCAGATTGAGACAATAGCAAGCTGACAGCATAAGCAACATAGGCTTAAGATTCACAGACCTTTAGCAAACACAATTTCTGGCAGACTCCTCCTGACTCGCCATAGATCACTGAAGGACTGATGTAATAATGTACTGCTCAGAGCTTTATTACAATCAATTGAATCATCACCTTAGATCATCCTTAAAAATTTCCATTTTTGCATGACTAAAATTTTCCCATTGGGGCATAGATAGATGTCATAGGAGGTGTTAATTCTTCCCCTTGGAGGTATTGACCTCTGGACCAACCATACAGGCTGTAATTGTGAACTTCTTGGTTTCTAAATTTATTTATTTATTTATCTGATTGGAAAGAAAGTTCTCGGAATTTCATGAACAATTATTACAACCCAGTTTATTTAAAAGCAAAATCATCTCAATCATGAATGTAATCACCATTGGCCTCTATCACTTCACGCCAATGTTTATGCAAACTATGGATGCCATTCCAATAGAACTCTGGCAGCTGCGCTACGAAAAAGTTGGCCAAATTGGTTTTCAGGTCATCTTGGTTGGCGTACTGCTTTCCACCCATGTGACGGTCCAGGGCAATGAAAAGGTGATAATCGGACGGGGCAAGGTCGGGGCTGTAGGGCGGATGCGGCAGCACCTCCCAGCACGGGTCCAGTAACTTTAGATGAGTCTGTCTAGCGGTGTGTGGCCGGGCATCGTCGTGGAGGAGGATGGTTCTCTGTCTTTCTGGGCGTGTTTCAGCCAGTTTCTGCTGCAGCCGATCAAGTTGCTGGCAGTAGTAGGCAGCAGTGATGGTGGTGTTTTGCGGCAACAGCTCAAACATGATGATGCCTTTCGAATCCCAGAAGACCGAGAGCATAATCTTTTTGGGGTGCAACTCCTGACGGGGTTCTCTTTCGGCCGATGCTCCGGCGTCCACCCACTGACGTTTTCGTCGAATGTTGGCATAGAAGGTCCACTTTTCGTCGCCTGTCACCACTGAGTCTAGCCGATCCGTTCGGCGCGAACGTGACAGAAGGGAGATGGCCATGTCTACTCGTCGCTGGCGGTCCCGATCATCCAGCTTGTGGGGTACCCAGCACCCCAACTTTGCCTTCTTGCCAAGCTCAGCCAGATGATGAAGGATAGTTGTATGGGAGACACCCAGCAAGTCCGCAAGCTCTCGCGATGTTTGCCGGTTGTTGGCCTCCAGTGCCTCCTGCAAGGCAGAGTTATCAAACTCCGAAGGACGACCGGTGCGTGGCTGGTCTTCCAGGCTTTCATTTCCTTTCTGGAAGTGACTGTACCAATCATAGGCAGTGCTCTTGGACAGTGTCCGGGTCAAACGCGGTATTGATGTCAGCGATGGAATTGGCTGCCTTCTTCTTGATTCAGAAGTCATAAAGAAGAAGCAGGCGAACTTGCTCCTTAGTAAGAGGGTAGGGCTGGTTCATGGCTGGAGAGCACCAGGGCTATAATAATATACGGTTGTATGCCGAAGGACACGACCTACTTATAAACACACGCAGAACATTCTAGCATGCTCTGGAAAAAAATTGTACTGGATATTCAAGAAATTCCGAGAACTTTCTTTCCAATCAGATACAATAATCTCTCATTCTTCTCCTACTCACAGGCTATTTTTAGCTATTAGCTCAGCAATTGCTGAACTCCTTGCAGAGCTACACCCTTGTAATCTTTTTGTTGCCATGAAAATCAAATTCAAAAAGCATTCTTGTCTCTATCAGCAAGAAGATAAATACATGGCTCAAAGACTGATGATCCATTGGTTGGCTGTTGGAGCTCAAGTGATTGGGGGAGGGAGGGGTGTCATACTGGTTGAGCTTCATACCAGCTAGACTGGGTTCGTTCACTTCCTTTCAGTCACCCTGGGGAGATGACTGGCTAATGGACACCTATCCAGCCAGTTCCAGAGTAGTTCCACTGTCAAATGTGTTCAGTGTTGTGAGAAAATTCCCAGGGTCACTGTTGGGGGCACTTTGGTTGAGTTGGTTGAGACTTTGGCTGCACTGTCTTCTGGCAGTGTACAATTGCTCATTTTGGACAACTTGCAATGTTCTAGGAGATGTGGGATGTGGATATTAATTCTGATACTTAAGTTTCCAGCTTGTTCAGTTGAAGAAAACTGCTGATCCACTATAATTCTGAGAATCTCTAGGGGTAAAGCAAACTGGATTGCAATGCAATTGATTTTCCATTTGATGCAGCTAAAAACTTGAACCTTCAGTTCTACACCAAGAAAGAGATATGGATATCATGAGATTCAGAGGGAACCAGTTAACAATCAACCCACACAAAGTGATGGAACATAGAATAGATATTCTCTTGAAAACTGCTGATCAGATACAAGTTGGTTATAAATTAAAAGAAAGTTGAGGGGCAGGTTCATTCTCTTGAATTGTGAAAATACACATAAAAATATTTATGCATAGGGGAACATATAAAGTAATAATAACTTTTTTGCTTCATTTCATTCTGTAGAGAATCTAGCCATTTCTAATAGTCTACTAAGTGAGGCATAAAAGACATGCCACTCTTTAAAATTCTTTGATGTTGACGAGACAGCCAATAGCACTATAAATGTTTTTTTTTTTTTTTGGGAGAGGATAAATACTATTTATTCTTTAAACATCCTGAAATTCTTTTCCATAAAAAAAAGGCATTTTAACATGTACAATTCAAAAATGCAACTTGAAATATATATTTTTTGCGAGTAAAGATACTAGTTGGAGTTTGCAGTATGCACCAGTTTTGGACCAGTGCTCCTTAGTCAATCCATGAAAATAAGATTCACTGCAGAAGGTAAAGCAATGACCGAAGCCTGTTTTCCCTTTTTCATTAAGAAAAGAAAGGGTACAGTGGTTACCCTGGCAGTAGAGAGTGCTTGTGACAGCATGGATTCCTTTGCTTCATGGGAGGTTTTATGGCGCTTCAAGGAAAATGGAGAGTTGAAAGTCATGCCACATATGGGGCAGGAATGTGAGCCAGGATGGAGATGAACCTGGCGCAGGTGACGCATCCGAGTTGTGCTGCGTTTAAATGTCTTCCCACATTGTTCACATAGGTACATCTTGGTACTGTGATGTGTCACCTGATAACAAAAATTCATGCAGCATGAAGGGGGTTAGATGTTAGAATCCAAAGAATTTAAAGATTAACAGGAGAAATGTGAAAATGGACACTCGATGAAAGGGACCTTATGTTCAGAAAGTTGTTGCTTTGATCTACAGGGTTTCCCACACTCAGAACAGCGGATGGACCCTTCATGAAGAGCGATATGCTGTGCCAATGTGTCAGATCGCTTGAAGCTTTTCCCACACGTTGAACAGAGAAAGGAACGATTCTCACTATGTGCAGTCTGTTCATGTCGACTCAAGTGCCTCCTCTCCTTTCCCACATATTCACACTAAAAAAGAAACAGGATATCTAGTGAATTCAAATTGAGTTTGTACCTTCATCCAACCACACTTATTGAACACTTCATTACAGAATTCTGTCTATATACAAAGCCATTTCAAATATACTACATGAAACCCATACTTATCTCCAGTGTTGGCCAATTTTTATATGTAATTTTATTTAAATCAAATTACCTATTTTAGGTGCTTATTATTTGTGGTGACTTGAAAGTTTCTAATTCCATTACATGTCTGAACATTCAGATATCCCTGAAACATGAAAATTTAAGCCTAAAATGCACTATCTTGCCAAAAATCAAGACTCACCCTGAACTTGGTCTTGCTTCACCTGTCAATATGGTGCTTGAACCCAGCCTGAGCAGACAAGGTTACAAGAGTATCCCTGCCAATTACATTTCATTTTGCTATGACATTATGCACCACATTTGTAGTATAGAAGTACTATGGTAACTAGGCTGGGGCTGAACTTTCCTATCCAAAGGCACTTAATTACATTGCCATTTAGATGCCATGATTCAAGTTGCAAACACAATACTCCTTTGAGATAAACTTTGGCATAAAGGTGACAAATGGTGAGACATGACACACATCAGTGATAATCAAGAGAACTATGTATCACTGCCTCTATCCAATATCATGGAGCATTGCATAAGTGCACGTCTTCAAGAATGTGGTGGGAGCTTTCCGCACCTGCTGTCAGCACTGAACCTTCAGGCCTAAATAAGGTGTCCTATATGTGTTGAACTGCATTCCTATAGAATAAACATCTTTTGCATCTCTATTTTTTTATTATTATTTTTTTACTTTGGCAAGGTTTCTTTTGAGTTACAAAATTTCTCAATCTTGTACTTCCAGGACATTCTTCAATGGTAGAAGAGATAGTGTTTGATGAGTGAATCAAGTAAATTTGCTGTAATGAAATTTATGGCATTTCATTTTTGTCTGGAGGTTAATATGTAGTCTGCAGGGAAGTTTTAGCACAGGCTTCATACATCCCCCAAAACTACACATTTTTAGTACATTGGACAGAGTAGATTTACAGGCCACCAATTAGAGACTCCTGTTCTAAATGCTTTTAATCCCTCCTACAGCCTTCAGCAGTGATCCTCAGTAGTGTGGACCCCTCAGGGGGTGGCCAGCATATATGAGGGGGAGGAGTCACCTCCTCCCCTCCACCTCCCACTTCCACTTCCAAGAGACTGCCCCTACCTGGGAAGGAAGATCTTCGAGGACCTGAGACTCTGGATGCAGTCAGTTCTATTCAGTGGTTCCATGTATCTATGTGTGGATGTCCTTTTCTCTGTCACCCAGGTGAACCCTTCTATCTCTCTGGTCAGATGTCTTTATCTTGTTAATATACTCTTGTTCCTGTGGTTGAACCATCTTGTATCTCACCAGTACTACCATCATAATTGGAGTCAGATTGTAAGTAACAGCACCCACATATGGACATGTCGGGAATGTCCACAGTAGCCTTCCTTCCTCTCATATTTCAGACTTCCTTGAGAAAATCCTGGATATCTTTGAAGGAGAAGTGCAGAGTGGCCATCACCACCATGGTTGTGATTCAAATTCCTGCTCACCTGTGAACATGAGAAGATTTTTGAATTTTGTTTCTTCTTCCTCCCAGTAGCTTCACAGCCTCCATCCACACGTGAATCAACCTACACAGACAATAGACTCTGATCAAATTGAGACACTGAAATTTTTAAAATGAATTTCCCTGTCTTGTAGCCCACCTTTGAATGTGCCTGATTATGAAGGCTGAATAGTTTTGGATCTTCTGTCACATAAATACATTGTTCACACCTGAATGCTTTCTCACTATCGGTATGCTGCTCCATGTTGTGTTTCTTGAGATGTGACTGACTCAATGTAGAAAAACTGCACTGCTTGCATCTCCATACCCCTCGATTCTGAAATGTATTTATTCAAAGTACAGAAAGCTTCATCTACTACCATCTGATGTTCACTGATGCTGCAAGGGTGAAAAAAACATCCCTGTGCTAAAGAGATAAGCAGAGGGGAGGTCTAAAAAGCCATGCCAGAACTAAGGGGCTTGTGAAGGTCAACAGGATTGTGAATAATGTAGGCCAACATAGATAATTCCAAAAGGATGCAAAGGGTACTATTAAGCTCACTCAACCCAACTGACTTCCAGCAAGCCACAGAAGCTGTATACACCCCACCCAATTTTTGCACTGTAACATACCCATTCCAACAAATAATTATGATTCATATTTAACTTCTACCTTTGTTTTTGATTTTCTATGTACTCAAAATTCAGATTGTGGACATTTTCACATTCACTTTGATTCAGCAAGCTGTACATGTCCTGCTGCGACTTATACTAGCATTTCCTCTTCATGAACCCCTACTCACTATCCCCACTATCATAGAGGTAAAGGAACACATGAAAGGCTGCAGCAAAGATTTTGCTCATATCAAGTATGCAACAGCCCAAGATTAAGATATCAACTCTCAAAATCCATTCATGAACTTTCTTACAAAATATCTCTCAACAAAATTAATAATCTATAGATCATAAGTACATCATATAATGGTATTTGATACCTTGTGTTAGATAGCTTTAGGTCTACACTTCTACTAATCATATCTATCCATCCCATATGAAGAACTCTTCTTAACCCTTATAGTGTCCAAGTTGACATGTCCTTTCTTTAATTCTACCAAAGCAATCAACCTATTTTGCTGTTGTCAGATTGCTGACTGACTCAAGTTGTCCCAGCACAAAATTTGTGCATGAAGGTTGTGGACATTCTGGCTTTTCATGCAGTACACCATCTCTTGTAATAAACCTCACACACTGTAATCCACAGGATTCAAGTTAGGGCCATTTGGAGGCCATTTTCACTTTTAACACGTTGGCGACAATGCGTCCTGATGCCAGGATGCAGATTTTTTTTCAATGAATACCCTCTGGAACTGTTGAGAACGTTCCAGAAGATTATGATTTCGTAATTACTGATAAAAATTCCAAAAAATTCAACATTAAAAAAAAACTCTGCAAAAAAAAATGTTTCCTGGGACCATGCGTCCTGATGGCAGGACGCATTTTTTGACAAAAAAAATGCACGTGGTCCCACGCAGCGGACAAGCAAAAATAGGCTGGTTGTCAACGTGTTAATGAAGTCAGGGCACTGCTCATAAAAGTTCACATTTTAACATTCAAATAGTGAGATGGTGCACACTAGTTAGCACAGCAGTTATTTTTCACTTCTCACAGTAAAACTGTCACTGCAAAAACTTCTGAACTTGTTTTCACAAAACAAAGTAAATATGACATACATTACAAGAACCTAACTTAGCAAAAATGTAACAGCAGATTGAAAAATGTGGTACTTCTTTTCGGCCCACCCTGTATTCACAATGATTTGGGAAAGCAAGTGCAGCTAGGTGTCTCTCTAATGTCACATTATAGAGAGAAACCTCTGAGCTAGGGCCACAGTCTCCACTTCATTACTATCTTTCAATCATGAAGGTAAAAGGACTCAAGTCAGTTTCCATGGAAATTTGGAAATGAGAGAATACATAGAAAGGGGGTATCTAAGTACACAGTGAATCAAAAGCTTCAGAATTGGGGAAACCACAATTCACAGTCACAGTCATTGGTAGGCAATGATTTCTCTCTCTTCTTCTCTTACCTCTGGTTTCCCCAAACTGGTCAAGGCAAAATCAATTTTTTAATCTTAAAAAGACCAAAAAAATCCTTCTCTTCAAAACTGTGAGATCTCCTGGGGAATATCAACTTATTTTCATTTGCTAAATTCCTTTCTCCTAGTCTCACCCGCCTACCAGGCAATAAAAAAAGGGTAAGGAAGTCTCAAACCAGGTGGAGTTTTAGGTGCTTCTCCAGATGACTCTGTCTTCCTGTCTTGAAGGAACAGAGATGACATAAAAATCGACTGGAGACACGCTCTTCATATCTCTGTTTTGCAGCTCTCATGGAACCTTTGCCTTCCACCTCATTTTCCCTTTCATCCATGCAATAGTCTTCTCTCAAGGCAAGAGGAAGTTTGACATTTCTTCTTGGCATTTGTCCATGCTGATCAATTATCAAAGGTAACACTTCCATGGGAGAATCTTTGGTTTCCACAACCTGATCTTCCATTTCCATTCTATCTTGTAGATATTGTGAGACTGTTGACTTTGGAGCATCCTCAAGGCCAACAATCTGAGATAAGTACTCACAGATGAGAACCTGCAAAAAGAAGCCAGAGATATTAGTAAAAAAAAGTCTTCCATAAATGGCCTTTCTTGACTTCATGGATGAGGGATCTTTGCCACATGTGGAAGGTTATGTTGTTAAATCAGAAGGTTTGATCTCACACCTCACAAGATGTTGATGCCTTGGGGATGGGTTACAGATGGTTGCATCTTCCAATCAGCATCCCAATAAAAAAATGAAATTTCTCATATATCTATTAACAATTATTCTGGGTTATCATTTGTGGAGACATGCTCACTTCTTGATCTTGCAACTTCAGTCAAAGACATCCACATGAATATAAATCAAGGATTGCTATCAAAGTTCTTGGAAATTTTACCCTGGAAAATTGCACATACAGTCGAACTTGGTTATAATGACCTCAGTTATAATGACAAAAGCGCCAGGTCCTGGCATAGAGGCCATAAGGCACGTTACATTTTACCTCGGTTATAGCGAAACCTCGGTTATAATGAAGTCCATTGAAGGTCTCACAGACGAAATCGACAACGTTTATGTCCCTAATCTGTCATTCTTAACTGAAATTTCCATCATTGGAAAAATTAGCGTTGGCAAGCCATAACTTTATATTTCCTGGATTCAGCATTCCTTGAGAGTCATGTGGGTGTGGCTGGAGCAATGTTAGGGAGGGATAATCCCCAGTAACTAAGATCACCTTTTCTTTAGTCACCATTTGCATTTCTCATTGACAACATGGCCAATGGAAAGCAAAAGAGGCAAGTCTTCACGATTGAAAGGAAAGTGTGCTTGATTAGAGTAATAGAAAGAGCTCGAAGTGAAGCTAACGTCACTCGTGAACATGGACATCTGTTCATCTGTTTCCACAATTTGGGAAAATCGTGACAGCTTCATCCGTGCTTATGAGAACATGTCACAAAGCAAGAAACTTCCTAGGTCTGTCAAAATGACATCAACGAAGCCTTGCTAAAATATAAAGTAGTTCAAGGTCCAAAGAAGTGCGAACATCACGATTAGTCAATCTTGAAACTGAAGCCAGTATAGTATGACCAATCTAAACTGGAGTTGTAACGTTATATAGCATCAATTTTGAAAACAGGAAAACGGAGTGCCAATAAAGGCAATCCCGGTTATAACGACGGTTTTTACCTGGTCCCTTCGATGACATTATAACTGAGTTCGACTGTACTACAACATACTGCATATATAGACATCAGTTCCACATGAACCCTTTCCACATTATACCCTGCAACTGCAGAGCCCCTTTCCAGTCTGTTAATCCATAGTTCTAAGTTGGAATAACCTTCATTACTCAGCTGATCTCATGACATGAAACTTTTGGCTCTTTAAAATGCTTGAGGGTTATGATGGGTGACAATTTTCAATTGATAGATGATATGCAGGGCAGAAGTTATCTGTTAGCATCAGCAAAATCCTAGAGAGTTCTTCATTTCTGGTAGAAGACAGCATGGAAAGGACACAAGGACTTAGTATTGATACATGAGACGTTCAACTTTTTGTGTTAATAATTCCACAAACTTTAATAGCAATCCTCATAGATTGAGGTAACATGAGGAAGACAGTCAATGGGGGAAACATCAACATGTCAACATTTGCAGATAATCCTCATCACTAAATCATTAATATTGGTCAAAATAAAGGGAAAATTTTAAAAGTCAGTTCACTTATCTGACCATTCATAAATTCAGCCAGTCTACTCAGGAACCAGAATAAGACTTCAGCCCGATCACAATCAGAATCATGCAGGGGACTGATATTTTATTAATACTCGTATCTGTCAGAAAAATGAGTTGATCATCTGTTTCCTCAGATGATTTCATGGCTCACTAATTTAAAAGATGCAAAAAATTTTAAGACTTTTCTCCAATGGCTATTAGTCAGTCTATTTTTGGTGTATGCTGATCACCCAATCCTGGCAAAATAAAATATTGTGAATATGACTTCTTGAGATATGAAGTATGTAATACAGGGTGTCCCATTAACCCTTATCTAGGCATTGGACTCACTGACTCACATTTTGTCTTATTCTGATTTATATTTATGAGGGAAGCATGATTAATTTAATATGCATCTTTTAGTTGATGTGAGACAATATGTTACCATGTCTGAATTTTCAAAAATTTTTGTCACATGAGGAAAAAATTGGTAAACACTTTCCTGACATAAATAGGCAAGGGGAGTCCACTGGACTCATTACACTTTACATGTATATTTCACAATGGCTCCCTGCTCTTCCTGGCTCCCATTCACAACCACTTTGCTGCGCATCTAGCCACAACAAGTTACAATTGGAAGACCGCTCAGTTCTGAGCTTCATGGAAAAATCCTCTGTCGTCCCTCAGTATTGACTAATATCTCTACTCTGTGGTGAAACTTGCATGCAGTGTTTGTGCACCTGTTTGAGTAAACCACACAACCATACGTGGTTTTCTCACTGTTCCATGCAACCTAAGATAATTTTGGTGAGATGTAGCCAATGGCATATTTATGGGGTGGGGGTGGCTGCTGCCTCCCTTCCCCTCTACCCCCCCATGACCCCTTGGATGTAATATTTTTCTCCTCTGATACCCCTCGAGTAGGGTTTGACACTCCTGATCTGCTGCCCTGCCCCCCTTCTCCCCAACTCTTGTGGTGCCAAAATATAACACTGGATGTACACATGCAAAATTATTGGGAATTGTATTCAACTGTTATGCTGTTTTTCAGTAGTATTTCACCATCACTGACACCTAACTCTGAGTATTCCCTTCAGGTATCCTGTAGCATAGAACTGGTGAAACAGACTATTTGCTAATTTGAATTAAAAATGAGTCAGTGATTTACAACTTATTAATAAGAATCTTATTTCTGTTACTGTTATCTTAGGGATTGTGGCGAAATCTTGAATGTCATAGGAAATTATTTAAAAAATCTTAGATAATGCAGAGTTGGATGAAAATCTCAGAAACTTATGTCAACTTATTGCATGATACAGTAAATATATAGGATTTCTAATTGTCTCAGAGATCTATTTTCTAAGGGTGTAATTTCTTTATTTTTGACATGTGAATACTCTTGAAATTGTTCTTCTATTGGTGTGAGATGATTGCGAACTGGGTAGCCATATGAATACAGGTTGATAATTAAAAAGAAAGGAAGAGTCCATCGGACTCCCCTTGCATGCTTATGTTGTGAAAATACCTTGCCCAGATAGGGGTTAGGGATGTAATTCTTTTTCTGTTGCAAAGTATAACTGAAGGAATGCTTGTTTTATGCCTGGCACATTACACATGAAATCCAGCATGATAGTCCAAAACTAAATGTGTGGTGTGGCTTGTTTCATAACCAAGCGCTAGGCTCCTACCTAGCAGAGAGTACCATTACAAGTGGTGTGTTTTTGAACATGTTAGAAGGGGTATGTGTCCCCACAGTTAGATGGTATGCCTGACCTGATGTTATTTTGCAAATGGATGGAGCTCCCAAGCACTTTGCAAGAGTCGTCCAGGAATTTGTGAATCTGAGGTTTCCAGGTTGATGAATTGGTCATAGTGGTCCAATTGTCTGGCCCTTGCGATCTCCAGATTTAACCCCACTTGATTTATTTCTGTGGGGTTATGTCAAAGACAGGGTGCATGTGACAAAGGTGGACAGTGTGGCGACATTGCAGTAATAGATTCAGGATGCCATAGCTGCCACCTGATATGCTGCAAAAGAGTATGGACAGAGATTGAATACTACTTGGACATTTGTTGCACAAAAAAGGGTGCGCATGTGGAAATCTTGTGAACACCTAAAAAACTTGGTGAGTTATACTTTGCAACAGAAAAAGAATTACATCCACATCCCCTATACATTCTGAGATATTCAATCTTCAAACCCCAGAAACCTTGATGGGACACCCTGTACATACATCACACTTAAGTTAAATTAAGTGCTCCAAAGGAGGAAGATTCTTGGATGTGAAGGGGAAAGCCAGAAGTGATCAAACAAGGAAAACCATCACTATAACATAGATGCTGTGGAAGCTTAACACTTTCACTGTCATGGGATTTGTCCCTGCACTGGCATCTGGTTTCAAAGAAATTCAGGAAATATGCTTTATATTGATGCAAGCACAGCAGCATTCCATTCACAGCAACCTATGTCCTCCAGAGCATTTTAACACATTGACTGCTAGGGATTTAAATGCCCTTAAATGTCATTGTGAAGCAACGCAAGTCGGTGGAGACATGCCACATCAACATGCCATATGCCATGAACTGTGGTGAAAGTGTTAATATAGAAAGGAGAATGAGTTCAATACTGAGTAAATCTGGAAACATCAACCTGCCTCATGTGAAAACACATGCCTATATCCTAACCATGAGCGAGGGAATATGAAACTACTTATTCTCCCAACTGGATCATGGGTGAATTTCATTATAATGAAACTTCAACTTCATTGATTGGAAACATGAAGGAGAGCTTAATGGAACATTATAGATATGAAGTATAACTCCAACCTCATTAATGCAATGGGAAGGATTCAGCAAGAAGAGCATTAGGCCATATCCACCAATTTTAAACAGTTTTTCCTAGTCAATGTCAGCATAGAGGCTCCTACAATAGCAGCAACAAGAGCTTGAAGAAGTACAAACTACTTCACCAGAAGCACATATTTTCTGTCAAACTTCTAGTATCATTAAGAAAATCCTTCATTAAGTCACAGAGAATATTTGATTCAAAATTGAAACCAGGTTAGCATACACTGAGGCAGCAAGGGTGGCTTGTGATATTCAGCAGTAGTGCATTCTCAAAGGCCTACCCTGTTTCCATTGAGGCCATTGAGAATCCACTACAGCTGAATATCACAAGCCATCAACGTGCAGCAGGCCTCAATATCCCCACCTCAAGCTCAATGAGGTTCTTCAGAGTTCCTCTCACTGTCAATACGTTTGTCCCATGCACTTCACCATGTGTTGCAGCTTTCACCTTCAGTTCTTCTAATTGCCAGGTAGCAAGGCTGGCAGAGATCTTGCTGCTTACTTTCGCTTCCACCAATTCAAAAACCTAAATTGAAAAAAAGGGTAGACCAGTAGCATTTGTGACAAGGCATACACCCTTATATCAATGATAATAAATCAATATTTAATGGCAATATAAGTGAAAAGGAACAGATCTATGGATAGGTACCTTGAGTGCCCTTAGAATATTTTAATAAGATTTATTTTATGAGAGAATATTTAATGAATTTTCCCTGTAGTTTCACCAGAAATGTCACTCTCAAATTGGTTCTACTGACAGATCTACATAAATAAATAAATCTCAGCCTTGTGAAAAACCTGTATTAAATAGGGCAGTCTTTCAGTTGAAATATTTCATTAAGGATTGAACCCATTATGAGAACTTTAAAACTTTTCAGAAATTAAACTTAAACTTCTCATACTATTTTTTTGTTGCTAAAGCACTTTTCTCTGACTTCCAGTTTCTCACATGATTAAAATAAAATTATTCTGCAAAGAATATTACAAGATTGCAAATAGAGCTATGCTTCTTGCCTGACAAAATAACTTTCTGATTCCCTGTCATATATGCATATGAGCATTTATGACAGGGTAGCAGTGTCAAGTAGCAAATGAAATGCTGTCTAAGTTTAGACCAATCAGTTTAAGCTTAGTCTACACCTAAATTTAAGCAGTAACTGCTATATTGCATGGCCACATGAGAATAGATAGGAACTTAGATAATGAGACCAATGGGAACAAGAATAGTGGGAAAGTCTATCTTGTTTCCTTCAGCACCCATACAATGTAGGATGTAAAAGAGCAAAAATATGTAGAGAACATCATGTCTTCCAATATTCCCCCCCCTTACTACCAAAATTTAAAATCCCAACTGGTCCCAGCTGAGCCATATATATATATAAATTCAAAATAAATTCAGCAAGGAAACACCTGAAAAGGGCTGGATCCAGGATGGCTCACAGCTGAAATTTTCCAGTTGAAGTACAGCTGGTTTTGTTAGCTGTTTCCAGCTGGGTTTTTCTATACTGAGGATCCTCCAGTGGTTATAGGACTGCATTTTTACCTGTAATTCAGCTGCTTCTATAACTGGACTTCAGCAGGAAATGACATAAAACCATTCTCAATCCAACTAAGATATTCCAGCTGTGGTTTAGCTGGGATTTTAAACTTGATACCTAGCATTTTGGGGAGCTTAAAATATTCAAATAAAGATAGTAGGTGCATAGGTATTCCCATTGGGATTAGGAGCCAGCAGTTCTTCAGTTTTCACTCCCTTTGTCACATGCATATTCACAGGACATTGTCATATGCATGTTCCTATAGGTCACATCAGGGTTATCAAAATTCATTCCTATGACTACTCAACAATTCATGTAGGCAAGTCCTGAAAAAATATTTGCAGCTAATACCAGCCAGGCAACTTTTCTTTTCACCCCGCACTCTTATGACCAAAAGAGCAGCTCCTGTGCAGATAAGCCAACACAAAGCAGCATCTATGGCTTAAGGACCAGGGATGCAAACTGGAACCAGTGGGGGTTAGTAAACAGACACTTCTACAAGAAGGGGGGTATAGTAGGCTAAACCAAACATGACGGGGAGAGGGGGGATTTCTTTGTTTACTTTTCATTCACCAAGACAAAAACCAGGTCATTTCTTCTCACTTGCCAAATCCAAAAATGTATTCATTCCTGGCAAGTGGGAATTTTGAAGACCTAATGACATACAAATTTGAACTTATAAAAGCAGAATGGTCACAATACAACAGAGATAAGGAGGAAGAAGAGAAGAGTCTTTATAGTGCTTCATGTGCATGAGAGGTCCATAGATGCAAGACAAGGTAGTAGGAACACAGTTTGCAATACACAAGGCAAGAATGGGCATTGAAATTTGATCTTCACTCTACTAATGGACTTCATGCTTTCCATCTTGAACTGAGACTTCTTTTTCTTTGCTGTCCCTGTCATAATCATTTAGCCTTAACAGAATATGTATCAAGATGTGATGTCATCATCAAAGACATGAATCAGATTAATCATCTTTGGGCTATGGTCTAAATTGCACAAGCACTAATAGTAAAAACAGAATACTGCTTTTAGAAGCCATTAGAAAAGGTAATGGTAATCTCCACCAAATTAATCTCCAATCTCTACCAAGCACTGATTTACTAAGCAATATACAACCAACTCTTGATATATCAGCACTGTTGGTCTTCACCGATTTTGGCACTACAGCAAAATGCATGGTGGCTTTAAAGCAGAAAAATTTTTCAAATGTAAACAAATATGCACAATAATAATTTTAATTCATCCATGCAGCCAATGGTCCCCACCTCAGAATATACAAAATACACAGCTTGAAAAATGATTCCATCCATGATGAAATCCATTCATTTCTCATTTTCCATGAGAATAGCTCCTATGCACCATCTGCTCACTTTATTGTCTCAAAAAAATGGGAAAATTTTCACAAAGTTTTGCTGACTTTCCCTATCAATCACATGACTGAAGGGAGCAGCTGGCAGGAGTACATGGTTCAATGAGTGTGGCCAGTATAGTATGATGCTTGGCACAATATTGAATAAGACTTATGTAGATATGTTTGTGCAAATCAAGGTGTAGACAGATGAAGATGGCAGCTTGTGAAGGTGGTGCTATAACAGGGGAGTGCCTATGGTGAGTCTATAGGGAAGATTTGTTCTCAGGAAAGACTAGGTGATAAGCAAGCATGGTGGTATATTGGGTGGTCCTATATCAAAGGTTGACTGTTTGTTATGATGGCACTCTCACCATATGCAGCGATAGAATCTTTATTGAATGGTTGCAGTGAATCCTTTTTAAAAGAAAAAGAAAAAGAAAACGAGGGAAAAAAAAAAGAAAGAAAGAAAGGTGCATTGAAGACTGAAGCAAGACTCCCTCTCCCTTCAACTAATGTTAAATATGTGACTTTTTTCATGCATATACTCAAGACGGCAGAAGAAAGCCAGTCGCTGAAGACTTTTCCTCAGCCTTAGTCATCATTTCCAATCCCTAATGTCCTCCCATACATGCCAGCTCTTTTTTGTGTAATACTATATTAAGGCTCTCAAACTACCTTAGAATCAAGGACTACGTAGGCCAACCTCACCTTGCATGATGGAGAAGATCCCATGGCTGTAATGAGCCCAATGATGACGAGGCTGAGGAATTATGGCTGGCTAACTCATAGGGTGGTCAGCCCTGACTGCCTAGGCATCACGTGCTTCACTCCCACTTCAGGGAGCTGACATGTTTGATCTGTTCATTGCAGGTATAGAGACTTCGCAGGCATCTGAGGAACACACTGAGGATTCGGGAGCAACGTCACGCTCCTGGGATGGAAATTGCCCAGCCGTAGCTCGTGAAGGAAGGCCCACTTAGAAATAAGTAAGTATATTATAATATGAATTGAGTATGTTCGGTGCTTTAAATTGGATTGATTTTTCTTGGGGGGGGATGGCTGGGAATGGGCTCTTATTTATAATGCTGCCCCCACACCTCTAATACCCACACAGCGCAGTGATATTCCAGGGATGTTCCTGGGAGACTTGTCTCAAGTCGTTATGGTACATCCTTAGGACATCTTCAGTCGGATGGTTTCCGACATCTCGAAAAAGATGTCTTCGGGACATTTTAGAGCCGTCTTTAAGAGATTATTAGTCGAATTCTTATCTATAGGGTCATCAGAAAAAGATTCTCCAGTTTTCGTCACTTATATTTCCTGAACTACATTGCCAACAACCTCATATGTGGTATCATTCGACACGTCAGGCTTGGGAGTTTTGTATCGTACTATGCAGTCCTTGTGCTAATTTCGATAAACAGTAGCAAACAAGCTAGCGTATATCACAGAGCAGCGGGTGTTTATGGTGAAAAAGTTTTATCAAACTGCCAGCGTTATTAACCCCTTTCCTACGGATGACGTATATATACGCGATTTATTATCTCGATTTTCAAAGTTGTAGAGCTATGATGAAAATCTGTTTTTTTGCTTGGTAATGAAAAGTTGTTTGCTCCAAAATGGTCAGCCTCGCTCACCTTCCTTGACATATGTCACGTGTCACGTTTCGACACTTGACACGTGACATATGTCTTGCAAACGTGTTGCACGTTTATTGGCCAACATGTTTGGCTGCTGCGTCAGAGGTTTTGTACATAAATGACTGCATTCTAACTCTGGATTCATTCCTACCGCTTACTTCTGCATCTTCTCATCTACGATTCTGACCACAAACTGATTTTCCGACCCTTGCTTTGACTTACGATTCCGATTTTGACCACGATTACATTCTGACCAACTTCTGTATCTTCTCATCTACGATTCTGACCACAAACTGATTTTCCGACCTTTGCTTTGATTTACGATTCCGATTTTGCCCACGTTTACATCCTACGATTCCGACCAACCGATTCACCGACCCAGGAAACGATTCACGATACCGATTTTGAACATGGCCTACCAACTACGTGCACGACGAGCAAAGGTTCCAGCAAGGATACGCCAGGATCTGTCGTCCAGTATCTCCTCTGGATCATCTGGTGATTCGGATTTAGATTCGGATTCGTGTTAGTTTTTTAATTCCGGTCGTAGTGACAGTGAGAGTGATAGTGGCAGTTCTGGTGGTGCTAGTCCTGTCCAACCACGTCGAGTTGCAGGAGAACAATGCAATGTTCCCCTCTGCATATCTTGTTTCAAGCCATATCACACTTGAGGACTTGATGACTAGTTCTATTCAAAATCATAGTATTGTAACTATAATATAATAATTACCCTGATTCCATCCATCCTACCAAATTACCTGTTTTTCTTTCTTCATACCTGTTTCTCTATACCTTCCTACGGATGACGTATATTTACGTCGTGGGACTTAGCTGGCTGAGGCTGGAATAATACCGTTGGGATACTGGGCTGGCTCAGTCAATCCCTTGGTCAAGGGGATAAAGTGCAGTTTGGTTTTCGAAGTGAATTTTGACGTAGGGACACCAGGGCCGTATCTAGGATTTCATTTCGGGGGCGTTGAGGTCTGGCTATTTTGTTTATACTTGCCATTGTAAGTCTTTGTGACATGTCTGGATTTTCCTGCAAGTTGCAGTGTTTAATAAGTCATGAGCTATTAAAGATAGAAAAGACCAAGTACTGCCCCGTTTACACCGACGAATAGCAGTATGGCAAAAATTTAAGGAAGATATTTCGGGGGGGACCCCCCCCCCCCCCCCCCCCCTAAATACGGCCTTGAGGGACACTCCAAGCACATCTGCAATAAACAGGCCAGTAACAAAATTCGTAAATACTGATAATGTGAAGGACAATAAGAAGGGATATCACGGTCGCTTCAGATGTGGATGTTCAGGAACACCGTACTCTTCTGAACTTAATACCTGTGATTACTTTTTATGGAGACTTCTAAAGGCTAATGTCCACAGGAATAACTCACATACGGTCGAAGAATTGAAGGCGGAAATCAGAACTGTCGTGGAAAGCATCAATCAGCAAACACTATTCGCGGTTATTGAAAACATCGGTGAACGCCTGCAGAGGATCATGGATGCTGGAGGCTTCCACATTCAAAATGTGTTTTCATAATTAAAAACTCCCAAACATCCTGTGTTTTGTAAGCTATAATTCCAGATTCTGTGTATTACTTTAGGAAATACTTGTGATGAAAACTAGAGCGTCTTTTTCTGATGACCCTGTATATCCCTAAAGGGCTACCTGTAAGACATCCTTAGTTGAATACTTCTGGAGATGTCGTAAGGGATGTCATGAAGACACCTTCAGTTTATTGCAAAACTTTGACGGTAGATGTCTCCCACGTGCCCTGAGCTCCAACCTCAGATCTTATCTGTCAATTGTGTCAACTTGATTTGTACAGAAGGGAAGCGATTATTTTCGTACCGTACATCAGGAAAACTGCCACCGAGGAAGGTGAAAAAATTGAGGTTCAAATTTTAATTACTTCGTTATATTCTCAATAATGATGTCTGATTGGCACGCCTGGGTACTACTATCCTGGTTGGAAATATGAGTTCATGCTTCAGCTTCAAGGAAACAAGTTACTTGTTATAATAAGAATCTACCACATATCTCGTCCATGAATCAGGGCGACTTCGCAAAAAAAGAGTTAAATTTTACCCCATAGAAACGTGTCACTTATATATCGGGTGGCGCAAAAAAAAGCGTCCTGTCTGATGCTTTATAAAACCCGCTGCGGATAATCTATTTTCGTGCTTTTTTCGTTTCACATTGAAAACACTACACATTTGTTTTCTGATATTTTCATATGTCTAAGTTGTCCAAATAATAAGCGACAGTCACTCAAAGTGGAGACATGAAATGTACCTTTCGTGGATGGAGTTTCAGCACTGCTCATATGATTTCCCTCTTTTAGCACCATAAAGGCTGCTTTTTATGCCAAGTCCTCGTCGTAGAATAGTACTACTGTCGTATGTCATAGTATCAGAATGATACTACATGGAATACTACAACGAGGACACGGCATAAAAGGCAGCCTTTATGACGTCAAGGGAGAGAAATCATTTTCAGTGCTGAAACTCAATCCACTTCCTGCGCCGAAAAGGTACTTTTTTTTTTTTACTCCATTTTGAATGACTGTCGCTTTTTATACACACAACCTAGACTCATGAAACTTTCAGGAAACACATTTGGTAGTGTTTCCATTGTGATACGAAAAAATCACCAACCTAGATGATCCACAGCGGTTTTATAAAGCGTCAAACATGACGCTTTATTTTTGCGCCACCCAGTGTTGGGGTCTATCAAGCAAAGGGTAAGCAGTAGAGGTGTGCGTGAGTCCCGCTTCACGCGTGATTCACGCGGGACTCACGACCTTTTTCGTGAGTCCTTACTCGAACAGAGGTTCGGAGAATGCCTTTATCGTGATCGTGAAGAGAACAGAATTCACTCGCGCGTGATCGTGAGTGATCGTATTTCTTTAAATTAATTTCTCTATTTTTTTTATAGACTGCCAGATTTCTAATATCCTTCAACGAGGATCGAAGATCGAACCCGTGGGAACGTCGAAAGTTCCACATTCTCATGCAAGCTTTGCCTGGAGAAAAAGAAAAATATATATATACCAAAAGTTGCTCTATTTCCCTTTCATTCGTTGTCCGAGAGTTAATTTCCTCAGTTTGGCTGTGGCATAGCCTTGTATCACTCGCATCCAGCTCTACATTCTTGTGGAATAGGTATTTAGGACTTAGGAAATAGGGGTTCAAAATAGGATAGTAGTTCTAGCTTTTATAAGGATGGAACTATTTCAGCATGTTATTTCTCTTTGCTTTTCAAAAACAGCTCTAATCGTACTCGTGTGCCACACTTACTTGTTCAATTTACTATTTATATACAATATCAAAACAAATAATTGGAATTCTTTTCAACGAAAAACGAAGCGGTGACTATCACTCGTGACACGAGTCACGCGGGATCACGCATGATTTTGCGAGAGTTTAATTCACGCTTGCAATGATCGTGCGTGTTCGTGATTCTCAAGTAATATTGAATCTCGAGTTTGCGTGAAAGTAAGTGACGACTCGATTTTCCTCTCGTGATCGTGAGTCAAAAAGCACTCACGTGCACACCTCTAGTAAGCAGCAGTTTTGAGGGACAGATTTATAAGATTCTTGATGGAAAATGTTGCCGCTGCACAGGTTTGCACTTTCTTGGCGAGGTGTCCTGAAAAACCGCCTTTCGATTGAAAGGTAACACCAAGGTATTCATAGGCAGGAACAATCAGTAATTTTGTTCCGTTGTATAGGAATTCGTCCGTGGACGCCTCTTCGGAATTTCATCATTGGAGTCTTTGAGGTGTTGACCTGGATTTCGTTTGCTGAAAACCATTTCTTTAGCGAGTCAAGTGAGGCTTGGATGGCAGCATGATGTAGGGAGTATATGACCGTGTCGTCGGCATACATGAGGAGGTTGATGGGCTGATTGGTCAGTGTGTCCGACTTGAGTTGCTTTATGAGATCGCATGTGTATACGATGAATAGTTGAGGACTCAGCGATATAATATAATAGATATAATATTCTAGATATAATAGGAATATGAAACATGGTACATGAATAGCTGTTAGCATGGGCGTCCGCTCCCAGGGGCAAGGGGGGGCACTTGCCCCCCCCCCCCCCCCCTGGAAATCGGGCATGGCAATTTACTGGTAGTACTATACAAGAAATTTAATGTACTTCATGTGGAAATCTCTTCTTCCGTAGCACCATTTAGACCAATTTTGCCACG